TTAGTCCTAAAAATCCAAAAATAGTCCAGGAGTCCCAAAAATCTCGAGAATCTCGAAATTCTCCCGAAAATCCCGCTATTAATTCCAAAAATCCAGAAAATCCCGAAACTAGTTCCAAAAATCCCTAAATATTGTGAAAGTCGTCTCGAAAATCCCGATATTAGTTCCGAAAATCCCGCAAATCTCAAACCCTAAATTCCTAAAGAATTACGAAATAGCTTCGAAAATCTCCAAATAGTCCCGAAAACCCCGAAATAGTCTTGAAAATCCTGATTTAGTCTGAAGAATCTCTCAAATCCCGCAACAGTTCTCAAATTGAGGTGTGGTGAGTTTAGGTGCGGTGTCGTGGGAACGGGTGTGATGAGTTCAACTATGGTGAGTTAGGATTTGGTGTAGCAGTAGGTGTGGTGAGTTTGTATGTGGTGAGTTGACTTGAGGAGAGGTGAAGTGAGTTGTGGTAAAGTAAGTTGAGGTGAGTGTAAGGCGGGATGTTAATTCTCTAAATTTCTCCTAACTTATACAGTATTTCGTTTGACGTTTTTACCCATCGACTAAATACCTTGGTACTTTAGTGAAAGTATTTTGCATCCCCAAGATACATGAGTACTTTGGACCAAAGTTTTTAGCGCCTACTTGTACTTTGGTATCTAGCAGCTCCTAAATATTCAAGATTTTCTTACTTGAATATCTAATAGCTCCTAAATACCTACATACTTTTTACTTGAGTATTTAGCACCACCTAAATACCTAAGTATTGTTTACTTGGGTATTTAGCAGCTCCTAAAACCTAAGTAAATAGTGCTTGGGTATTTAGCAGCTCCTAAATACCTAAGTAAATAGTACTTTGGTATTTACAACAACACAAAATACCTAAATACTGTTGTATTTAGTATTTAATACTTAGTAAATACCATTTTGCCCATCACTGCAATGCATGCACGTGTTTGCAAATTTGCAAAATGATGACGAAGTGATTTTGTATGGAAAATCATTTATACCCATATATTTGGATAAAATAAACCTACTTACAGGCTAACCTAATATTCGCGGCTTGCGTTGTGGTACGCATGCCGTCGAATTTGTTTTTTTGCGTCACCCGAAATTGACTTGCATGCGTTCGCATTTGATTTCATTGAGCGAAACGTCAAATCAAAATGTCACGCAGAACAAAAATTGGAAATTGAGTTAGCTTCATACGCACGCCGTTCAATTTCGGTTGATCTCACACAAGTTGCATGTGCATGAGAAATTTTTGACAATAAATTGGCAGCGTGCGTGAATATTAGGTTAGCCTGTTAGAAGTTATCAACCAATACATCCCACATACCAAACGAAAGGAAAAGATTGAATTTTTTATTAAGGAAAACAAAAACAAAATCATTCGAGCGGTTTTCGAGCATATTTGTGATAAAAAAAAATTGCTAATTTTTTCAACAATTTTTCGCTTTAAAATGCTCGACGTTTGTTTAATTTATATAAAATTTGTACACGATAATATTTCCACTGCTCTAAAGAACCTATACCCCGAAAATGAAAGTTATATCTGCAAATCATAAGTTGCTAGAGCACTTTAAAGGCTCAAAATTGGCCCCAAAATAAGCGGTTATTCACATAAATGTATCTGTCGATAGGTTTGGAATTTTGTCTTTGAAACGCCACACCTCCCTTCGAAATCGCTTCACTAGTTCTCGTGCAATAAGCGTTTTCGTGAAGCTCTAAAAAATAACGTCAAAATATTTTGTCAGAACCCAGCTCTCGGATTCTATGAAATTCGACAAATTACCTAACAAAGACATTTTTTGTTACATCTTAGTTTCGCAGTAGTTCCCAGCAATTACAACTTCTATACTGCGATTTATTTTGGTTACGGTTGTGAAGGCTTCCAGATTTGTCTCGTCGCCAATGTGATGTACTAACAACTGAAAGACGTCTTTACTTATTGGGTGTCGGCAGCCAAAGAAACATTTATTCTTTCTAATCTTATGCAGCTACACCGAAACATATATATAATATTTAAAAGCAATGCTGCCTACACAAATAATATTTATTCCCCTAGCTCTAGCGTTACCAACATTACAATTTTCATTTCGTAAAATAGCGTTATTTATACGAGTAGCAGTTCCTTCAAACGATATGGTTCAATGTGCATACATGCTGAAAATGTTTCACAAAATTTCTTAGGCGCGAAACGCTGCCGCCACCGTGCCGATATTTTCGTAACTCGGCGGCGGCGCGTGAGAAATGGCAAAGACGGCACCGTCGGCGGCGGGGCTTGGCGGCGTTAACTTCTACACCATAGGCTTATAAATTTTAGAAAAATCTTAACCCTAAAAAATACATTAGACGCACAATATTTTTGGCGAAAAGTGACATGGAAATTAACAGCATTCTTAACAGAACATAAATTAAATGAAAGCAGCTCCTGCTAATTAGGGATCGACATGATCATAAACACAAACAAAAGGCCTTTAGCATTCAAAGATGTTGTACATTTACAAAGTAGTACCAAATTTTAATAAATACTAAAATTCATTACAAATAAAAAAAATAGGATACATTTTTGCATGAACCAAAAAGACAAGATCACGCGGGCAGGAGAGTATCCCGTTAGAATCGCATTAAGGAAAAAAGTCGAACGATTTTGACATTAGCCGTTTGTTTACATTTCTTCGTTGTTTACAATTTGGTGGTGGCTTTTTACTGCAATTTTCTTCATTTTCGCTTGTGACAACGTGTGTACATATAAGATAAAGAATAATTTAACACCACGGCATGATTTTTAGAAGAATTTGCATAATAAAAATGATTTTTCATGCGTTCAACAATTTCGCGGTTTTCTCCGTTCTCTTCGTTGTTTACTTCTTACAACAAAGATGGCGTCGAGATTTCGGCAGCTAGGAAATAACTTTTTTCGTTCTTTCCTTCCCGCGTGGTCTTGTGTCTTTCGTTCATGACATTTTTGCATTAAAACCAGTGAGTGTGAGCCAAAACCGGGACATTTCAAGGCTGGACCGGGACATTGGGACGAACAGTCTAGAACCAGGACATGTCTCGGAAAACGGAGACGTATGCAGCCCTATGCTAGTGTCGCAAATGTTCGGTAGTTTCGTATACACGGCTTGTGCGTGAAAGCCGAGCGTGACTCACGTTCGCACGACCGGGTTAAACTGTAGGTTCCTCCATTTGTGTGACACACACAAACTTAACAATAATTTGAGCGCCAAATATTTATTTTACACGCTTTTATTAAATTTCACCTGTGTGGAATCAAATCTTCCAACCAAACTTTGCCTAGAAGCCGATGTCAATGCAATATGAAAAATTCATGAATCCTTTAGGTGTCGCAGTTGTCGAATTATTTGAAAACCCAGTATTTAGATATGGTTCATATTTTGAATTTATAATATTATTATTTACTTGAAAAGCAACAACCCTACAAAAAATTTTGCCTGATGGGTGGCGCAGGAGTCGAGATAATTGGAAAACCCATATTTATGGCCTGATTCGGTTCATATTAAAAATGTACATTAATTAAAGAAAAGAAATAACTTCACAAAAAAGTTTGCCTTTAGGAGGTCTCGATTTTTAATTTTATTAACCACTAATACAATCTTGTCTTTAATATTTTTTCAGCATTACTTGGTACTTTTCTAATAAAAAAAAAATTGGAATGAAACATCACCACCAGTAAAGAAAATTTTATCATTGCACACTAGGGTGCTCCAAAAATGCATGTGACAAAGTAAAGTCGGAATTTTATGCTTTCACCCCCCAGGATTCTTCTATACCGAAAAATGTATACCCTCTTTTTTTTACTTTGAAATCAATAAATATTTAGAGATCGCTCAAAGTTTTCTATATATTTTATATGGGAAAAAACCAGTGTTCGTGGAAATTGTGTAGACTTTTTAAAAATCAATATTTTTCGATCGGAGAACTCTATTTCTCTTCAGGAGATTCCCAATAATAATACCCAATTGTTTCTTTAACCAGTTTTTAATGGTAGCGATTTTGTATGGGTCCCCCATTGCATTTTGCAATAGTCAATAATAGAAAATCGTTAAATAAACAATTGAGTATTGTTATTGGAAGTCTCTCAAAAAGAAACAAAGTTTTCCGAACGAAAAATATTTATTTTGAAGAATTCTCCTTTTTTACGAATACTTGTTTTTTCCCATATGAAATACATGGAAAGCTTTGAGCGCTTTGAGTCACCTCTAAATACATTCAATATTGTGATTTCAAAATAAAAAACATGGGTGTAATTGTTTCGACATAGAACAATCCCAGGGGGTGAGAGCATTAAAATTCCGCTTTTAATTTTTTTGGACCACCGTATTGTACACTATACTTATTACACACGCTGCACACATGATTCAATAATTAAAGGTTTGCTCATTATTGACATTAAAGTTTTGACACTCCCTTACAAAAGCTTTGCACACACCCACGAACCCACACACAATGCTTTGCTAAGGGAGCCGATTTTGTCAAGAGGGAGCGAGAAAATGCTTCTTGAGCAAACCTTTTATTATTGAATCATGGGCTGCACATACCCACACTGAAAATAATTAATTTATGGTGTTATTTCGTATTTGTGACACTCTTTCAACGAAGAAACGATATGTACATATGTATGTCACCAAAGGAATGTGTTAAATTAACATAAGTGTGACTATTTTTTTGCCAATATCAACGCCATTTTTCGGTAACGTTCTACCATTGGTGAATAAATTTGCTCACAATCCTTACTGGGTTCACAAACTATCCGTAGATGATTTGGAATGAACCGTGTTATGTAATCGAGGTAGCTTAATGGCCCGGTCGTTGCTGTGTGCTGCACGTTGTTATTTTCATGACATATACGACTGACGTCTACTAACGAATTTAAATATATTGCATATTTTGCACGGTACGCGGCACCAAACAAAGCAGCCTCACTTTCATTCTGTATAAAATGAAATAAAATTAAAATTTTCATTTGCTTCACACATTGTATATTTTGGTGCCAAACCTGAACAAAAACTGGTGCATTGAAAACATCCGATATTACTTGTAAAATAGACTTATTTACAGATGCTCCTCCTGTGGCAACAATTTTTGTCTCATCGCCGAAGTGGAATCCCATGTCTGAGGCTACGGCTCGTTTATGTAACATTTGTCCTTCAATCAGTGCACGTATTTCAGTTTGCGGCGATAAAAATCTATATGAAGAAGCAGAGACTTTTTTAATGTCAGCAACATATCTATCTATACATGTATGTACATTTGTATGTATATGTGTATATCTGTATAAATGTGTGTATGTACATTAGCGTGGGCCGAAAATCCTTTTTTTTATTAAGACTAAGAAAAAATTTGTTTAGCACTTGAACTTTGAGGGGCTTGGGCGAGCCTAAGATAATAATAATAATAATCCCAACGGTTTTTACCCTCCATTCCCGCCCATCCGCACGAGGGGCGCAGTCCGCATGACGTACGGAACCAATATTTTAAATTTTTGTGCCGAGTCACGATAGGCAGGAGTTTGTTAAGTGTCGAGATCTAAAACTGTTCAGCTACAGAACTAAATTCATCAGCTGATTTTATGTATTTATGTCCATAATTCACTTATTGAGAGAGGAGAGTATCGCTTTCTTAATGCTGAAAAGCGGATCTGATATATCAAACGTGCTGGAGTGAGATTTAAAATCCTGGCATAAGCAACGGAGTGGGTCGTGCAATTCAAAATTGGTTTTACAAGCTTTCAGAAATATGGGACAAAAGTGTCTTGATATGCGTGAGGGAACATTAAAGCTTACATCAGCCAGAAGAGACGGACTTGAAATTGAGCCTGTTAGTAATTTAACCATAAAAATTATACCAAGCATTTCCCTGCGACTGGCAAGTGTAGGAAGGTTAATAAGTTTTAAGCGACTCGTATAAGGTGGAAGACTATATTGAGAATCCCATCAGAAATTTCTTAAAGCAAAAAGTAGGAATTGTTTTTGAATTGATTCTGTCTTGTCTGAGTAAATTTGATACCTTGGATTCCAAACCACCGAGGAAGGTTAATAAGTTTTAAGCGACTCGTATAAGGTGGAAGACTATATTGAGAATTCCATCAGAAATTTCTTAAAGCAAAAAGTAGGAATTGTTTTTGAAATGATTCTGTCTTGTCTGAGTAAATTTGATACCTTGGATTCCAAACCACCGAGCCGTATTCCAGAATCGGCCTAACTAATGTTGTAAACAGGGTTTTAGTGATATAAGGGTCACTAAATTCTTTTGACCATCGTTTCACAAATGCAAGTTCACCTTTAGCCTTGTTGACTGTCACATTAATGTGAAGATTAAAATTAAGCTTAGGATCCATTGTGATACCAAGGTCCACAAAATTGTATACCTGTTCCAGGTTATGGTTACCTATTATATAAGAAACTGGAAGAAAAGCTCTTCGCGAGAAGCACATTACTTTACATTTCTTAAGATTTAGAGGCATACGATTTACTTTACACCAGTAAGCCATGCTGTTTAAGTCAGATTGTAGCAAATACCTTTCTTTAATTGAAACGTACGATTTATAAAGTTTTACATCATCTGCATACATTAAAATTTTGGAGAATTTTATATCTGTAGAAATATCGTTTATAAAAAGCAAGAACAGAATCGGGCCTAGGTGGCTACCCTGAGGGACTCCTGAAGTAACATCAATGACGTCAGAGATAGTATTTTTAAACACTACCCTTTGTGATCTATCATAGAGGTATGAAGAGATCCAACGTAGAAAATTAGGTGGAAGACCAAGAAGATCAAGTTTATAGATGAGCAACGAGTGGCACTCAAATTCACGAACGAAAGCTCCGGAGGGCCAAAAAGAACTACTAAGCAGCATGTCAAAATTTTCTAAATTTACGTCTATTTTAAATGAAGAAATATTTCTTTCATATTTAAAATTAAATTTTCTGATACTTAAGTTGACAGTTTTAACTTTGGACGAGATGTAAAACTTTATATCGTCCTCGGAAGTATCCCTCGAAAATCTAGATACAAATATAGACTTCTTTGGGGGAACCACAACCAGTCTCCTAGTATTAGACTCGATTACCGGCGGACGGGGTTGAGTAACTGAGTTACTAATTGAGGGTAGAGTAAGCGTTGGAAGATTAGATGGCGGTGCCACAACTTCAACTGGGGAAGGGGAAGATACTGCAGGGTCGTTATTATTAGAAGCAGACTTTGATATATGTTCTTTTGAGGAAGATAACTCCGTTGTCTGTGGACATGGAGAAGAAAGATTAATTAAGTCATTCGGAAGATTGTTCTGACGTGGAACGGTCCTTTCATTAGGCGGACTATGTAGACGCTTACGTTTTGATACACGAATGTCCTTCATAGATTGTACGGTATCTAAGCATTTAAAAGATTTAAATACATTTTCATAATGTTTAAATTTTTCGGTCAGTACCGACAACTCTCTCCCTACCTCAGAAAACCCATTTCTGGTTTGCCTAAACAACTTAAAGAGATCAACTTCGGTTGACCTGCACTTTAAGCAAGACCAGCGAAGACCTTTGCCATCATTAATAGCGTCCAGAATTCTTCCTGTCAAACCAGCACATTTTAGATGGCAAATGCCATCACAGAGCCAGCACGATAAGCAGCGTTCAGATTCGGTTTTAATTTGGCAGTTATCAAGATCACACTTCATATTGAAAGATAACACTTATGTTAATAAAAGACAAGCAAAATAAGTTTAACACAACACACACAACAATTTAGGAGCTGATGTATTTAGCTTAAAAATATATGTAGCGAACAGTTTGAGTATCACTGTATTGTGACACTTAATAAACGCAACGCAAACAGCTGTGACAAGAAATACTAAAAGAAGTAAACAAAAAGAGCAAAAAGAAATGTGCAAAAATAGAAACGATCTCAGTTAACTACAAAGGAATTACAACAACAATGATAACAACAAATGACTCGGCAAGATTAGATGTATGCTAGTGAAATTTAATTGAATTTAATATAAACCACAAAAATACAAAACTTTCACTTAGCTTCGATTATTATCACACAAAGATGCTCGTAGGCACTTTTTATAGCAACTTTTACTAGAATTAGCTCAATAAACTTTGCAAAATACAAAGACAAATCAGAGCACAATATAAGTAGAACTTCACAGCTTGACGTTTGCTTGATTAGATATTGACCAAAAATCGGCATCTTTTACGCAGATTGTTTTTAGAGCATAATGAACCACATTTTTGCTATTACCTATCAAAATTCTAAAAAAGCAGAATTTCGGCTCATTATAATGCACATCTATTAACCGTATAAAAAGAAAACCAAAATTATGGATGTACGCTAATAACTTGCAATCAATCTACTTAATTAATTTACAAATTGCAGCAAATCAAGACTAAATTTATTTTGCTGTAGTTAAACTTTGGAATATTTTCTATGATCCTGCAACAATCAAACTCATTAAGTTCTAGGTGCCCCGCGGTTGCACAGGACTTCGCCAGGTGCTAGTTCATTTACATACAAATCAGGGTGTCCGATTGTTTAAAAAAAAACGCAATTTCTGAAGAAAAAAATCGCCGAAAATCGCCATTTTTTTAATTCATAAAATCGATTTAACAAATCTTTTATTTAAAAATGAGATCTTGTTATAATATAGCTTTTAAAACCGAGAACGAATATAATACCTTCAGAGGGTAATAATAAATAACACAAATTACTTATATAATAGTGATGTACAAACAATTTTCTTTAAAAAACGCATACTTTTTAAAAATATTTGTTTCAACATATTTTGAAATAGGACTGCGCAAATATTAAATTTATTATAACTCATATTAGTTGATTAATCGCACAATCCGCTTTAAAGAGCTCGGCGCTAAAAATTAAATAAAAACCTATAATAAGGCGAAATCAGCTACATATTTCCACAATTTCTTCAAAATCACCGATAGTGTCTGAATGATTTACATTTCTGTTGTTGTCATATATTGAGCTATTCATCCTTGATAACATACTGTTTGATATTGAAAACGTTTTGCAGCAGAAACTATTCGCCTTCATATAACACTTTATTCGAACTATTGAATTAAGGCTTTCCAACCGCATCCTATTTCGAATCTTAGTTTGTGTTGAATTTATTACGGAAAAACGCGCTCAACAAAGCATGTGAGTTCGGAAAGGATAGTAATATGAATTTTATTTATTTATTTATTTATTTCATAAAGTCAATTAACAAAGTTCTTACTGACTATACAGAAACTAGAAATTAGAAATTACAAACAGAGAAGATTTTGAATACTTAAACATAAACAAATTTACAAATATCAAAATAACAAAATACAATAATGTATCAAAGAACAGAATATAACAAAGAAATAAAATACTTTTTGGATAATGAGAAATCAATGCCGACAGAATACGATATCTCGTTGAATTCACAGAGAGCACGCGACAGAGGAGCATTCCTTGCATAATTAGTTTTGACTTTATCCGGATAGAAGGGATTAAAGTTGCGTAGAGTTGTCAGTGGAACAAGAAAATTGATATTATGCAACAAGGACGGGCAGTCAACAGCGATCGATTAATTTTACATCTTTTCTTTTACTTATGAGTTAGGAAGCTAATCATGTGTATGTATGTACGTACAAACATGACGTTAATAAATACAGGGTAGTAGGTAACTATTCAACTTTAAGTGGTTTTTAATATCTATACATATTTAAGGCAATTTTACAATAGTGTTTGAAATAGAGAAAACTGTAATTTCGAGGGACTTTAATTTCATTAGGGTGGGACTCATGTCCTCAACATGCCGGCGGGCCTGCGGAACCATGACTTCTACGAGGTTTGGCAATTGCTCACACGTTTTGTTCGGTTGATTGAACAACCCACGGATGCACCGTTGGACGGCGGGACGACTTTCTTGACTCCAAGTCGGTTGGGTCTGCGTGTAGGCTGGGCTTGTCTCTGTAACGCGGGATCTTTAAAATATATGGTCGAAATACGTTGTCAGTGTTAGTGTTGAGGATAAGAGTTGTATGGAGATGAGAAAAAGTGAGAGCGAGATAAGCAGTGAGGGTGAGATAAAGACAGCATTGAGCTATGCGAGTATTAGGAGAAAAGAGGTTCCGCCAGGCTTTGAGACGGGTGCACTTCCGGTGTTGTTTGTTTACTAGCCAATGCACTTTTGGTAGCT